CAATACAATAATGAGAAATGCAGAGCTGTGAAGCATTTTATAAGGCTGATTACCTTTCTAGGGCATATCATTTGATACATGCTTTGTTTATCCAGAGTAAATTCAGTTGTTGAAAAGATTAATGGAATATATTTTATGTTACTTCTACATGCTTTCAGTAAGGAAGTGACTTGGTTTTTTCTTATTGACTCATGCACAAGAGCCTGCAATACACCAGCAACAGTAAAATGACTTTTCTAAATTTAGCAGTTCATAAATCTTGCATGGCACCAGTCCATTCAGTGGTATGTTGTTTTGAGTTTTCTTCCTTTCTTTCATGTCTTTCTCATATATCTGAAAAAGAAACAGAAGTGCATGCAGGAGGTGCACAATATTTGCCTTTGCTTTTCTGCTCTCCTCTTCCACGGTACAACAGGCATCTGTCAGCTTACTCCTGCTCTCTCCCCTTCTCTCTCTCTCCCTCTCTCCCCAAAAACATATAATGCATGCACATGTGTACACATATACACACACACACACATTTATTTTTCCTCTTCAGCTAATGGAGAAGAAATTACTACGACTTCAAGGCACAAATCGCTGTGGTTTGAATGAGCCGTGTGATCTGGTTCATGTAGGTGGCTGAGAATAAAACTGTTACCATCCCAGATATGCTTTACCAGGTGAATGATCTTTAAAAAAGTTATTTCATAGCTCTGCACCCCTTTGCCCCTATGCATTTCATTTTCATCTCAATGCCTTGACAGTAGCTTGTCACCTAGTTGTGGCTTGTTCTGTGCATAACACACTGGATGCCTGACCTCTAAAGGCTACAGGTCTTCCAAAGAAAAATGGCAATATTGCCACACACACTGGTTCATGTTATTCATCAGGACTGAAGAGTAACTTGGATGTGCACTGGGTCACTTTACATCTTGTGCAAAAAATTCTTTAGAACTAAGCATTCCAGAGCATCCCATAGAGGACGTTTGTCCTCTACTTTCCGACAACCCTTGCTAATTCAGGTTTCCTTCAGTTAACTTAGTTGCCCTTTTGGAGACCACTGAAAATGTAGATGAGCAGGTTGCCTCGCTAAGCTTGGGTCATTTTCAGGTCTTCTGTCATGCCATAGTAAAGGCTGTGAAACCTACTGAATTGCAGTCTTAGCCTGCTGGGAAGTGACAGTTCAAATGTCTAAAAATCGAGGCACTGACCATCTCTGACACTGCTGATGACTGATCTACCAACTAATGTTCAACAGATACAAACACCAGCAGAAGCAGCATTTTCTGCAGCCAGCCTTTGGATTCCAGTCCAGTTTGGAGACAAGAATATACACTGCCTCATGCTTCTTCCTCATAGAATTTCACTACAATGAGATGAACTTTAAGAACTCATTTGAAGCACAGCAAGCAGATGCTAAAGGGGGAGAGCCCTGTGCAGTGGACCCTGGGTTATTATCTATTCCTTATAGGATGAACCTCAAATAAGGTCCCATTTCCACGTGCTGTACATGCATGCAGAGCAGGAGATAACCCTGGTGGGTTTACATGCTCTCATATCTCTCCTGAAATTTCATGATACCCTAGGGCTGGCAGATAAGATACCTTCTCAAAAGGCACCTGGAAACTAGGCAGAATATCCACAGAAAGTCAAACAGCCCCAGACAAGGTTATGTGGGTCATTAAATCCAGCACCATTGCTGACAGAAGTCTTCTGGTCTAAGACTACAAAATTATGCCAGGTGAACTCTGGAAGAGGTTTGATGCATCTCATTCCTACCCAGAGCTGATCAATGCATCTCAGTCCTCATCCTGGTTTTGGCTAGGATAGAGGTAATTTTTTTCTTAGTAGCAGTACAGTGCTGTGGTTTTGATCCAGTAGGAAAATAATGTTGATGACACACTGATGTTTTGGCTGTTGCTAAGCAGTGGTTACCCTGAGTCAAGGACCGCTCAGTGTCTCATGTTCTGCTAGTAAGTGCACAAAAACATGGATGGGAGCATATCTGGGGCAGCTGACCCAAATGGACCAAAGGGATATCCCACACAATAGAATGTTATGTCTAGTATATAAACTGGGGGAGTTACCCAGGAGAGGGTCTTTCTAGGTATGGCATTGGCCAGAAGCTGGTGAGCAATTTTATTGTGCATCACTTGTTTCTCTTGGGTTCTCTCTCTCTCTCTCTCCTTTTTATTACTGTTACATTTTACTTTGTTTCAATTACTAAACTGTTCTTAACTCAACCAAAAACGTTCACTTTTTTTTTAAACTGGATTCTCCTTCTCAATCCACCAGGGAAGAAGTAAGTGACTGAGCAGCTGCCTGGTACTTAGTTGCCACAGCTGGGGTTAAACCAAAACAGTTCTCTTCAGCAGAAGTAAATTGCTTAATAGCAGCTGAGACTGTGAGTCGACCTGCTTACTCCCACTTTGCAGGTAGGTGCAGCAGGAGTAATGAGCTGGTTTACACAAAGCAGCACTGGAAAGCAATGGCTGCTTGTGGCAGACGCATTTTCCTCAATTGTGTTCACTGCCCTATACACAGAAAATAACCCTTCACATTTTAATGACAATTTCCTAGTAATGTGTGTCACAAAAAACAAACAGATGAAGTTTCCCCACAGTGTAAATGTCTCCTTGAAGTATTGATAATGCTTTTGACAGCTTGCTCTTTTCCAGTGTTTGCAGGAGATCCCATGCAGCATGCAGCTCCTGAGCCCTCAAGACCAGATTTCCAGGGGACTCCCAGGTGGCATAACATTTGCTCTCACAAAACCCACTGTATCACTCTGCTCTTCTTTTTTCTCATTGCACTGACATTTTTAAGCAGAACCATTTCATAAGCACTGTGGCCATGACCATGCCATCTCCCACCAGGCCTCTTTCATTCCCAACCAGCATAACCAGGAAGGCATCTTTCCTAGTTGTCTCCCAGAGCACTCATGGCAAGAAGTTCTCTCCCACAAACTTCAGGAGTCTTTCAGATCAGCACAGCACAGAGGGCATCATTTTCAGCTGGTCTCTAGGAAATTGAAATCTGCCATAAGGACAAGGGCTGCCAATCCAGAGATTTCCCCTAATTGCCTGTAAAGTCCTCAGCGCTGGCATACTGGCTGGGCAACTGGAAGAAGACACCCACTACAACATCTGCTTTGTTTTCCACCCCCTCATCCTCACCCAGAGGCTCCCAACCACACCATCACCGACCGTCAGGGCTGTACATCTAACCTCTCCCTTGTACCTAATGTGACATCTTCACCTGCCTGCCTGCCCTGCCCACTCAACAGCCTCTATCCCAGCACTCCAAGGGACAAGTCCCACTATTGCCAAGGATACCGCAGCTCTGTGAATGGACCAAGGCTTCCAGTCAAAGGCACATGCATCCACAAACACTGAGAGCCACCCCAGCCCCTCTGGACCCCTTCCCTCCCCAGGAGAAGCTGGGGAGGCTGTTGGGACTGAGCAGAACAGAGGGAGCACTCACATTCCCTCCAGACCAGATAACAGTGATGCCACCACTATGGTTCCCACCATGTGGCCCCAGGGCCTGCCAGTGACCCAGCTCCTTCATACATTTGTACTCCCCAAAATCTTCTAATCCCAAGGCAGAGATCAGTCTGACTCCTGCAGCTCAGGGATGTTCTCAGGGGCAAGAGTGGAGGGGACTGACTGCCATCACTCCTGACTCTCTCTCAGGCTCAGCCAACCTCTGCTGACTGGTCAGGCAGCAGCAGCCCTTCACCACAGCATGGGCACTCTGGGCTGATGAAGACCACAGTGAGGGAGGTTGTCCCCTTCAGCCCATGCAGGATCACAGTGGAGCAGAACCGCACCTGCTCCCTGTGGGGAGCCCCACACTGGAGCAGGTGGACATGCCCTGAAGGAAGCTACAGCCCATGGAGATTCAACACAGGAGCAGCCACCTGGCAGGAGCTGCAGCCTGTGCTTAGGAGCCCACATAGGAGCAGGTTTTCTGGCAGCTGCAGCAGTCCGTTCCTGAAGAACTACACCCCTGTAGAAAGGGCCCATGTTAGAGCAGAGGAACAGTGTAAAGAGTTATGAGGAGTAAGACAGTGTTATGGACTGACCACAACACCATAACCCATCCTTCTGCACAGATGGAGAGCAGGAGGTAGAAGAGCCTAGAATGAAAGAGTGAAGATGAGAAGAAGGGAGGGGGATTTGGTTTTAGTTTTGTCTTTGTTTCTTACCCACCCACTTAATTTTCCATTGGCAATAGAAGACACTAATTGCCCCCGAAGGCTATGTGGCCAGTGAGAGTAATCTCCCTGTCCTTATCTCAAACCAGCCTTCCCATCTTATTTTGTCCCCGGTGTTGTGGAGAAGGGAAAGCAATGGAGAAGCTTGGAGAGTATATGGCAGGCAACCAGCCAAGGTCAAACCCACCAAACTCATGAAGGCAGTAATACAGGAAAGAGAGAAGGCATCTTTCTCATCCAGCCCTAACAGCTACTGCTGCGCGCACAGGTAAGGGACAAAGCTGGAGAACAAGACTCTGCCTGGAGCCTTGTGCCTTGCACATAAACACAGCAGGACATCTAGGGTGTGCTGAGGTGGGTGAGTATCGGCTATTGCAAGCAGCTGCTCTCTTGCCAAGGCTACAGACAAGGCAGATGTCTTCAAGTATGCAGTGGTGGGGCACAGAGAAGAGGAAAAACAGCCTCCTTGAGAGCAGCACAGCTGCAAGACACAAGGCTGCAACAAGAATAAAAAAAAAAAATAAATCTGAAAAAAAAAATATTTCCCAAGGGAACACTCAAACATTAGAAGGGGTAGCACAGAGGGGCCATCCAGTTTTGGGAGAACTTAAAACTGAAAAAATCCCAAGCAATCTGATCAAAGTTCCTGCTTTCGGTGAAGGAAGAGACCAGAAAATCTCTAAACTCCCTTCCAACCTGGACTACTCCTGACTGACAAACATCCAATGGTCTGTATAGGTAAGACACCCAAAATCACAAGAAAAATGCTCTGTTTGCAAAACACATAGTACATACTAAATATGTTTTAAAAAAAGAAGTCTTATTGCTTTATTCAGCTTTTGACATAGCTTACCTTGAAATTACTAGAAGTCCTCTGAGGATCTCTGTAGAAATCACTGACTACTTTTCAGCAGAGATCAGCTTAAACCAAAGAAATTGAAATGATGCTGGAATTCAGACTGAATAATTTCTTATGAACCAAACATTTTTTCCCTTGTCTAAGAAGGGTAATCCCCATAAAATTAATTTTCTGGCTTTTGGTTTGGGCTCCTTTTCTGTCATTTGGTTTAAGCAAAACTTTGAAATACTGTGGATGGCTTTATCAAATTACAATTTCTAAACAGTCTTCCAAAAAAAAACTTTTAAAGTTACATACTAGCAATACTCTATCTTCTTCGACTCAAAAGTGCATACACATTCAAAGGTTTTACACATTTCCCAGACATCTTTTAACAGAGAGAAATTCTACCCGATATTTTAGTTCTTAAGGGGAAAAAAAAAAGGTAGTTAAATTCACAATTTCAAAAAATGTTCCGTGGAAAGTGTGCTACATTTTTTCTTCTGGGAAACCAAACCAAGAGGATTTGTTGACAAGTCTCTTTGGCAGTCTTAGTATCAATGGTTGTCTCTCTGGATGCTCTGGGAAGGAAATCCTGGGGGAAGATAATTGACTGGAAGGCGCTGCTGGTGCTTCCTGAACATAGCTGGTTACAGTTTCTGTGTGAGAGGTGTTACTGCTGGTATCTGCTGTGGTAACACTCTGATCAGCTGCTGTTCCTTGAAGTTTGACATCAGCATTTCTAATGTCACCATCTAAGTCTTCCCTTGTGGTAGGGATACTGTACTTTTTGTCTGCTTCTCCAGTTTCCTCACATCTTGTCCTCAGGAAAGAAGATGGAGACTCATTTTCTCCCTCATTTTTCAGAGTTGTGCCTGTCCATGTAATACTGCTGTCCCATTCAGTACTTTCTGGCTCCTTGCTACTGTCACTATCAATTGTAATCACCACTGGAGAAGAATGTGCTGAGTTACTGATGTGATGTTTCCTGTGTTTCTTCTTATGCTTTTTCTTTTTTTTTTTAAGATGCCTCGTTGTGTCCGTTGCTTTTCCCTCGTAGACTATCTCCACACTTGGACTCCTCAACTTCTTCTTCCTTTTTTTACGCTTTGACTCATTACCTGCTCGATTGTCTGATGGGCTATCTTCATTTTTGCAGCAGTCACTGAATTTTGAGGAAGTTTTCTTGGGGTCATTTTCTCTTTCTAGACTTATGCTCTCCGTGAATGCATTCTCCAGGTGGCGAGTTTTGTACTTCCTTTTTCCACCAGGCTTTTCGCTTTTCATTCTGTCAGTTCCTCCAGAAGGAGTCCTTGACCTGTTGCTCGACCGACTCCTTGACCTGCATCTTTCATAACAGTAATAGTGTCTCTCATGGAGTCCCCTCTGGCTATGCAGGTCTGTCCTCTCAATAAATGACCGTATCCTGTATTCTGGACTAGCAGATTGCCTCGAATAGAGAGTATTAGATCGTGTCCTCCTCCTACTGGAGGATTCATAGCTATCCCCAAACACCTTTCTACTACAGAAAGCAGAACCCCACTGATGTCTACTTTGATAACTGTCTCTTACATAATACCGATCACTGTCTCTACTTCTTGATCTCCTTTTACTGTAGCCTTTGCTACACGATCGTGATCTGCTTAATTCTCTGGATGGAGTGCTCTCACCACTCAGAGAGCCCCTCTGGCTTTTCAGAGAGGCTCTGTTGTCACGAGCCCTCGACCTTCTACTGCTTCTTTTGCTCCTGTGTTTGCTGCTATCTCTGCTTCTTGATCGTCTCCTTTTAAGTTGGCTTTTGCTATGGTGCTCCCTCCTAGACCGATGGCCATGACTGCCTCGACTGCTCCGTGAACAGGACTGTGGGCTTCTAGACTTTCCCTTCCTGTGATTCCAAGGGGAACACACTGTGTCACTCCCTGGAGAGGGGCTCCAGCTCAAGTCCCGTGGAGGCAGATCTTTTCCCTTACATTTTTTCTTCACATCTTCTTTTGACTCTGTCTTCTCAACTGTAGGAGATAAACAGCTTCTACAACTACCTGCATCTTCCTTATACGTTGGGGAACACGGCGAGAAGCTCCTGCTTCGTTCACTGTCACTCCAGCTGTGACACTGGACTGGCTGCTGTTTCTTGACATCCTCCCTTTTCTCTTCCCTGATGGATTCCTCAGAGTCTGAGGACAGTTCAACCACTTCTGGTGTCCTCTCAGCTAATGGCTTTACATACCCAACAATGACACAATTGTCTGAGGAAGAGCCACTGTCATTTGAGTCAACATTAGCCTGTAACTGAGTCTGCAGTTTGGTTCCTTGACTCCCTGTAGCAGAGTCCTCATCAGAACTTTCTGATGACTCCAGAGGAGAAGCTATGGTTGCACGAACCTCTTCTGAAACGGAATAGGAAGGCCCTGGAGTTTCATCATCCCAGGGGGCCTGACCAAGACCAGGCACAGACGAACTGTTATCTGGCCCTTGAGAATATGCCACATCCGGAGATATTGTAATAATTGATGAGTCTGAATGGCTTCCTTCCTCATATGATGGTGCAGGACAATCATAATTGGCATGTTGATCGTATGCTTCTAAGTTAAAAGGACAACGAGCAAAACTGATGAATTCATGCAGGAAGTGTTCTGTCCGATTCAGCAAAAATGGCTTTAAATCATCAGCAAAGGCCTGACTTTCCAGATCATACCTAGTCACGTTACTCATGATTATGTGCTGTACAATATTAATCAAAGATCCATGGGCACCAAACAGGACTGTAAGTTCTCGCTTCAACCAAGGAACCAACCGGTGAAGGCAGGCAGGGTTGCGGCGGAAAAACTCTGCGGAGATGTCTCGATAGCGGCCGCCATCCTGAATGCTGCGGATACGCACACCAGTACGGTAGAGGGCTCTGCGGAAGTTGATCATGTCCTCCTCCTGAATCTGCCGCAGAGATCTGCCCTCCGCGCTAGCCTGCCTCCTTGAGGCCAGCCTCTTCATCATCTGATGAATCTCTCGGTGTCTGTGACGCACTGGTTCGCTTGACAACCCTTCAAACAACATCCCATTATCTGGAGGGGACAGCATCCTTCGGGAAGGGGAACTGCGATTGCGGCGCTCCCTTGTTAAGGTAGTACGGTAACGAAATCTCCGGCCATCAGGGCTGGCAAAAGAGCTGTTTTCTAAAGGGCTGAGTACATACTCCTTAAAGTCATCTTCAGCACGAATTGTATGGAAAATGGAAAAAAACGGTTGCTTGCAAAGGGGGCATTCTGCTTTGTTTTTTGACCACTCCTGGACACAGCGGAAGCAGAACCTATGCAAGCAGCGATCTAGATACGCAACATTGTCAAATCTATCCAGGCAGATGGGGCATTTGGAGTCAGGAGATGCATCTGTTGGCAGCTTGCTGGTGCTGGCTTTTGGTGCAAAGTTGCTGTCTTCTGCAAACTCTTTATCTACTGAAGTCATGTTCTAGAAAAGACAGAAATAAAAGATGATTGATATGACAGAGAAGCAAAAATCTTACTGTCTAGATGCGGAAACCCACAGTTAATCACTTTTAAGGTTGCAAAACCCAGTAGTAGCTCTAAGGAAACGCTGAAAAAAGAGGCAGCATGACCTAACTACTTTGTCAGGCTTCTCTTCACAGTGAGATCTAGCTCTTCAGTGCTGCAAGTTTTAAAGAGCACTTGAATCATGAAGGTAACAGGCAGTACTGTCTTCTTCCCCATTCTTAAATAACTGCTTCGATGTGGTCAGTAAGTTTATGATTTACATGGTATCCTCCAAAACACAGCTCCAAAAGACTAGCATTTATGTATGACAAATATGAGAACAGTTCTGTACTTTAAGAGAAACCAGTCAAAACAAGTAATTGCACTCAAGCTATATTATCACCTTCCAAGTTCTGCTGGACCTGTCCTGTTTCTGAACGCCCTGACCCTCTTTTGTTGGGCACTTATGCTGGACTACACACAGCTTGTTGGATTAGACAACCTCCAGGGATGTGTTCCTGTCAAAATAAGTATTTGTCTTTAAGACTGAAGCAGAAAAAAACAGGTGTCATTCCTATACCCATCCTCAGGTACACACTGCCTTTGTATCTAATCAGGCTGTCATGCTGGTTTTGGCTGGGGTAGTCAACTTCCTTCACAGTGACTAGTGCAGGGCTATGTTCTGAATTTGTGCTGAATATAGGGTTAATAATATCGAGATGTTTTATTACGGCTGAGCAGTGCTTATACAGAGCCAAAGCTTTCTCTGCTCTTTGTACTACTACACTGGCTAGGAAGCTGGGGATGCTCCGAACACTGGAAGGAGACACAGCCAGGACAGGTGACCCAAATTGATCAAAGGGATATTCCAGACCACATGACATCATGCTCAGTATATAAAGTGGAGGGAAGAAAGAGGAAGGAGAGGGATATTTGGAGTGTTTGCCTTCCCAAGTCATTGTTATGCATGACAGGGCCCTGCTCTCCTGAAAGTGGCTGAACATCTGCCCACCCATGGGACGAAGTGAACAAAATCTCCTTGGTTTGTTTCGTTTGTGTGCACAGCTTTTGCTTTCCCTATTAAACTATCTTTACCCACGAGTTTTTTGGCTTTTTCCTCTCCGATTCTCTACCCCATCCCACTGGCGGGGGAGTGAGTGAGTAGCTGCTTGGGGCTTGGCTGCTGGCTGAGGCTAAACCACTACAGATGTCAACCATGGGTAAAAAAAAATAAAAATCTATCCACTCAAAAATTATTTTAGGCATTGGCGTTATTCTAAGGCATTATAATTCAGCGGGAATAAGTCGCCACGCTACTTCCAAACTGATAAACCCGCATTTAGCAGCAAGTCCGGGAGCAGGTGTTCCCCGCCGGCAGGACACCAGGCACCAAGCGCGCCGTGCAGGCCAGAGGGACACACGACCGGACACGCAGGGGCCGGAGGAGCACCAGCGCAGGCACACGGGCGCGGCAGCTACCCCGGGAGCGCCCACGGGGCGTCACAAAGAGGCCCGCGTCCCGCGGGGTTTCACGGCCTGGGGGCGCCGCCCGGGCCGCTACGGGACCACTCCCCGCCCGCTCCCTGCCCTGGGGACGCCCCCGACCAGCTACCCGTAGGGCTCGGCGCCCCCGTCCGCCCCAGGCCCGCACTCACCGCCGCCGGTCCCTCGCTCCCTGCGCGGGCCAGTGCCGCGGCCGCCTTCAGCCTGTGGCGGGTCCGGCAGCGCCCGGCGCCAGGAGGCTCCCGCCGCTCCTCCCCCGGCGGGCGGCGGCGGCGGCGGGCGGCCTCCGCCAGGCGCCGGGACGGGTCCGCCATGGGCGGCGTTGCCACGGGAACTGCTCCTCCCGGGGCGCGGAGCAGCGCCGGGCCCCGCCGGGACAGAGGCGCCGCCGCCGCTCGTCATATCCGCGCCTGGCGATGCCGTGTTCCGGGGGCGGAGCCTCCGCTGAGCGCAGGCCGGGGCGGGGCTGCGATGGCGCCGCCGGGGCGGAGGGACTGAGCGCCCTGTGCCGCCTGGGGCGAGCTGGTGATCGGGCGGCGGCAGATGCCCTGCCCTGTGTCCGGGGGAAGCAGGGCTGGGAGCACCTCTCGGTGGAGGCAGCGGACGCCGGTGGATAAAAGCGGGGGGAGACTCCCGACAGTGTCGCCGCCAGCGCGCGATGCGCTTTGTCCCGCAGGCGCTGGCTGCCGTGGTGATGCTCTCTTGAGGCTTCGTTCTCTACGGGCAGTGGGAGAGCGGCTTCCTGGCCCAGGGACTGCCCTGGGCACTGGCCCTGGGCACTGGCCACCGGAGCTTGGTGTTGTATCCGAGGATGCAGAGTGAAGGCTAGAGTAGTCCTGTAGTCTGTCGGGCAATTAAAGCATGAATAGCACTTAGGAGAGAAGAGGTAAATAAATCATAAACAGTTCTTAGGAGACCTCGTCTTACTGATTTTTACTGCGATACATATGCCAAAGCACAGACAAGGCCAGCTCTGCAGGCTACCTCCCAGATGAAGCACTGCCTCCCACAGCACATACATGTATTAGTAGTAGGACTCGTGTAGAACGTGAGCACAGCCAGCCGCGTCCCTTTTCTGCAGCCGGTATGGATTGACGTTCGCAAAAGCACACATAACTCACAGATCCCCAGAGTACCAGCACAGCCCTTCTGTTAGTGTGATAACGCTGCCCCGTATCCTGAGCCATTTTACTCATTCCCACGCACCAACTGTCCAGCTTCCCGCTCAGGAGCAAACACACACACTTCTCAACAGGTGCCCCACTCCCGCAGATATCCCCAGGTAACAGTACAGGCATGTGCCTCACACTCTGCCTGGACTCAGAGCCTCCTGCTAGCCAGGTAGCCCACCTCTGTTCAGGAGTGACGTCCCCAGCCCCAATACTTTTCCCTGGTGCATGCAACCACTCTTGTCTCCACAGCAGACAGCAGCAGGCATGTGGACTGTGACCTGCATTCCTGCTTTGCATGCTGGATTCACTCGCTTTACTCTCCTCAGTTCCCCCAGTAGGTGCACCTGTGGCACACATACCAGTCCTGCCCCAGTGGCTGGAGCTGAGACCCTCACTGTCACCTCTGCCCTTTGCTGGCATTGAGACCTTTACCCACTCCCATCACTGGCATGATAGGAGGGATTTGCATCCAGAATGGTCATACTCTGTCAGCTTCCTGACTGCTGTGTGTGTGTGTCAGCTCTTAGGCAAAGTGGGGCCCACTTGGACTGTCTGTGTCTGGGTCACTGAAACGAAAAGATGGAAGGTACTCCAGGCTGTTCACAGTGGATTATCATTTATGAGCTGAAAGGCAGCCATTCTGGAAGTAAAAGGGATCTCTTTTAGGTGCTTGTTTTCTACATAGCTGGGAAGAACAGAAGTCTACTGGCTCCTCTCCCATTGCTGACACAGACTGGCAGCACTTCATCCCACCCACAGACCTATTGAAGCTGGGGACAAACTTTCCTTTGGAGAGGCTTGGACCTTTTTCCTGTGCCATCATATCCTCTGGGGTCCCTTGATCAGCAGCAGGGGTTTTCCTCACCAGCAACTTTGTGGGAGGAAGAGCGTGGAGGGGTTCCAGTCTCATGTCCTCCTGAGCAGCAGCCACAGCACTGGCAGTGCCCGTGCTGTTGACAGTGAGACCTACAGTCCCTGTCCAGGGACAAGCCCCAGCCCTCTTTCTGCTACGCCCTGGCACAAGGGAACATGCCCCTTTGGGCACAGCAGCAACAGCTCCCCTGAGAAAGGAGGTCAGCAGGAGACTCAGACTGAGTTTCTTTAGCATCTCCCATGTTAGCTGCATCACCCTGCAAATACATGAAAATTGTCAGTGCCCCTCCAAAGGTTTCTACACTGACAGGCTCTCTGCCTCTCCACTGACTTTCTTGGAGCCAAAGCTGTCTGGCTGGATGTCCTAGTTAGGACAACTGAGACCAGTTCATCATGGTATGGGTGTAACCCCAAACTGTGTATTCTATAGCCTTCCATGCCATTTCCCAGAAACTGTTGTCAATAGACTATTCGCACCCTCTGCCCATAGAGCCTGACTCCTCAGGCTATAAACTAGGTGTTAAGAGGCCTGTGAGAGAGGAGGATGCTCTTGTCCTCACACCCTTTGTGGAACTCCCCGCCCTGAGGGAAGTATTGAGCATTCCTGCCTGAACTGGAGGATATATAATCTTGGAGTCTTGGAACATTTTTAACCACTCGTGGCATCCAGAGGAAGACTACAGTTCATCGCTCTCAACCTCAGCTGGACTGCAATCACCACTTTTGACCGGACTGCAACAGCTCTCCCACCAGCAGGTTTTTCCCCTCTCCCTTTACTTTGGACTCAAGCGGGGCCCAAGGAACACCACTTTGTTCATGCCCCAGGGTACTGGGTTATACATTTGGGTTTTGTGGGTTAAGACCAATTGTTTGTTTGTATGATTGTACTTACTGTATTATTTTAATAAATTGTTATTCTGACTTATAATCTCTCCTTTGAGTTGAGTTCATTTCCCCTGCTGGTTAACTCTTAAACCAGCACACTGGATCACCCCTCACTGTCCATGCCATAAGAGCTCAGCTTCAGTGTGCTGTTGTCCACGCTGTGGTGTTCAACCAGTCACCAGATTGTAGTTAGCCTTTCCTTTCCCTGGCTAGCTGGGCACCTCCAGCAGCAGGACACCAAGAGCAGGAGATAGGAACAGCCTCTGACCCCCAGGCTGTGGCCTCTTTTCTGTTGTCTTCTCAGCCTTCCTTTCAGGTTCCACCACTGGCAAGCACTTAGAGCTGCATGTGGGCGTATCAGCCGAGGTATTCGTCATTGTAGGTTTACGGGTTGCTCTGCTCTGCTGCAAACTTTTCAAGTGTCATTTTGCAGCCACCGCTATGGAAATCAGCCTTTCTGGCTTGTTCCTTCTGGGTAGAGAGTGTTCGTGATCATGCAGAGACGGTTTACCTGCGAGCTGCCACGAGATGGCAAAATACTCCCCAGCATCCCTCCCAAGCCTGCTTAGCAGCACCGCAGGCTGGTGCCATGCAAGGCTTTGGGGACGCAGCAGCAGCAACAGCTGAATTTGCTGCTCCTCACTCACCCCACCAGCAAGGAGGCTGGGGGTGAACAGGGAATTGGGAGGGGACACAGCTGGGACATATGACCCCAAATGACCCAAGGCATATCCCATACTGTATTGGTGTTGTGCTCGGCATATAGAGCTGAAGGAAGAAGAAGGAAGGGGAGGAAGTTTGGAGTGATGATATTTGTCTTCCCAAGTCACTGTTACATGTGATGAGGCCCTGCTCTTCTGGAGATGGCTGAACACCTGCCTGCCCATGGGAAGCAGTGAACAAATTCCTCATTTTGTTTTGCTGGTGTGTGTGACTTTTGCTTTCCCTATTAAACTGTCTCTGTCTCAATCCACGAGGTTTTTCACTCTTACCCTTTCAATTCTCTTCCCTCTTTCACAGTGGGGGAGTGTGCAAACAGTTATGGAGTGTGTAGTTGACAGCTGGGGTTAAAACACGACAGTCCTTTTTTGGGACACAGTGTGGGGCTCAGCAAGTTCCGATAATGACAGATTTTATTTGAATGTGCTAGATGAAATGTTCAGCTCTTATTGCTGTTTAATTATTAAACAGCAGGCTCCTGTGCTTGCCATGGGGCTTGCTCACTAGTGTATAGCAATCTAGTGCTTGTTAGTGGCTGGTCACTGCTGTGCTGTGCTGGTTATCACCTCAGCCTGCTGTGGCTGGGAACACTCTGATAACAGTCTGGCGATGTGCCTGGGCTGGCGGGTGGCCAGAGCATTGCTGCTGTATTTTTGCTTCTGTATTGGACAGGCTGGAACTCCAGTGAGTTGAGTCAAAGGGACTGCGACCTGTGGATGAGTCCACAGTGCAGGGGGAAGAGTGCGAGGGGTCCTTCCCCTGAAGAAGAAGAAAGGGGAGGAGTTGCTTGATGTGCTGGAGAAGATTCCTCTGCAGCCCGTGGTGAAGGCCATGGTCAGGCAGGCTATCCCTCTGCATCCCATGGAAGTCCATGGTGGAGACTAATTACTATAGCTGGAACCCTTTGTTGCACCCAGACTAGAAGGGGAGGACTTTATTATTATACTAAACCCTATAACCTGGCATGAAAGGACCAGGGGTGGACATTGTAATAGGTGTGTCTTTAAATTGTTGTAAGCCATATTTTGAGTTACTATAACAAGAACCACACAAACTGATGGAGGAGAGAAGCCTTAGAAGAAGCAGTTGCAGCACAGCGGTGACCTGACCTGAGCTGGCTTTGGTGCTCAGTAACTCCACTCAGCACACCGCCTCTCCTGTCCTGAGTGACCACTAGAACAGATGGAGCCCAAAGTCATGGAGTAAATGAATTCAACAGACATTTTGTGGATATCTGTGGGCATTTGAGAGGTGGTCCATAGACTAATGGAACGATGTCTGTGTATTATATCAAAGGCTGGAAAGAAGATGGGAGGTGTTAATGAGATTGTATTGAATAATGTAGGACTAGAGCATAACATAAATTATATGAAAGAAGGGGTAGAGAATGTACTGATCATGGCTGGGGTGGAGTTAATTCTCTTCATAGTGGCTAGTATGGGGCTGTGCTTAGGATTTTTGCTGAAAACAGTGATGATAATATAAAGTAGTTTTTGTTACTGCCGAGCAGTGTTTACACAGAGCCTTTTCTGCTCCTCAGCCGCCACACCCACAAGGAGTCTGGTGGTGCACAAGTTGGGAGAAGGTGAGACGCTGCCAGGACAGGTGATCCAAACTGATCCAGGGGATCTCCCGCACCGTATGGAATCATATTCAGCATATAA